GAGAGAGAGAGAGAGAGATTTTCAAGAACTACCATGTAAATGACAAGTTAAGGGCAAGTGCGCAGCAACTGCAATTATCAAAGTCAAATGAAATTGAAACAAACATTTCAACCCAAACACAATAACTGGTAAAACTAGTTAGAAAACCTGTGAAAAATAAATGAATCTAAGCATTGCAAAAAAATAATGATTACCAAAAGTTGCAATTTGAGCAAGAAAGAAGGGACACTGAATCAATTGAATAACAAACATCTTATATAGAACTCCATTCGCAACACCGAATATCATAGTCACACAAGCGCCCATTACCACCTCCAATTTCCTACTCATCTCTCCCCAATGCTCCCTTCCAAAGAGCTAAGCCCGAAAACCCTTTCAAATCTCCCATTTCCATACCTGTCTACTGACCATGGCTTTGAAATCCCTCTTGTAAGAGCCATTGAACCATGACAATGGAGAATGAACCAATGGCAGGGAGATCATATGGCTGTGATGGTCAAAGAGAGAGAGTACCAGGGCTTTTTTAATACAAAGAAACATTGGTTTCGCTTCCAGAGGGACCGAATTGCTTATGAGATGAAGAGAGCTTCGAGTAGATGAGAGAAAGATCCCTACCGAGATAGAGAAAGGAGATGAAGAGAGAGAGCATAGAGAACAGGGAAGAGAGACAACAGAGCTGATGAGAGAGAAATAAGAGAATGAGAGAAGGGGATCCCTACCGAGATAGAGAGAGAGGGAGAGATGAAGAGAGAGCATAGAGAACAGGGAAGAGAGACAACAGAGCTGATGAGAGAGAAATAAGAGAATGAGAGAGAAGGGGATCCCTACCGAGATAGACAGAGAGAGAGAGATGAAGAGAGAGCAGAGGAGAGTGAAGCCATGAAAGAACCCACACAAACGGATGAAAGCAAGAATCCAGGAATACACGAAACAAAACCAGTATGTTTCCCATGCGCACGTGTTATTCAAATGTCCGTAAGGTTTGTACACTTACAAGGTAAAAGTGAGGCACATTTCTAATAATTTTTTAGAGATTGTAATGCAATAGTTGTAGATTCATGACAATAGAATTGGTGAAGGTCCCGGGCCGGAAGTGGTCCTCTGCTGGCCTCCGGGTACAAGGGGAGCACCAATACCTGGGAGGGTACTTTTTTTGGACTGTAAGGGTGCTGAGTCGATACATGGACATTCTGAAGCGCGCTTCCCTGCTAGCCGCCATTCAGTGTTCAGCAAGATGCTATGACTGTTGCTCGAACACGGTCAAGGTACTATTGGAAACTTGGAGCCACGTTAGTAACACATGGCTGCTCGGTCATGGGGCAGCAGGGATTTCGCTACTAGATTTGCACTTCATCGATGGGTTCCCACTCATTGGTGCTATGTATGACGAGTTTGTGCCCCCGAACTCGTTCATCTTTTTTAGGTAAACATTTCGGGAAAGAAGACGCACCAGCTCGACTGCAAGAGCTATTTGGGATCTACCAACTGCTTTGCTCTAAGTCCAAGTATGGATGCGTCTCCTTCACCCAATGGGTGGCATTCTTCAACGAAGATTGTAATGATGAGGTCGGCCAAGCCCAGGAAGAAAGGGGAAGGCATCCGCAAAGGGAACCCCTCACACAAGTGCACCTGGTGCTCTTTCTGTGTAAGTGTGCTCTCCCTAAGGAAGCAAATATTATTCGTCCAGGCACTTTCTATGTAGCCAGTGACATGGCGAGGGGCTATTTGAACTTTTAGGGGCAAAATTGCCTCACCTCCATAAACCAGGGAATAAGGAGTAGAGTTTGTAGCATTCCGAGTAGTGATGCGATAGGCCCACAGAGCCTCAGGCATCCTCTCATGCTAGTTCTTCTTTGACTTCAAAACTGACTTATGGAGCACCCCACATAGGGTTTTATTGAACTCCTCAGCTAAACCATTGGCTCAAGGGTGGTATGTGGTCGAGTACTTCCACTCAAAACCGAACTGGTTAACTAGGTGATCAATGTGATGGCTTCTAAACTGAGGGCCATTATCAGAGATTATTTGGTTCGCCCCAAACCAGTATATGATGTGGTGACGTACGAAGTTGGCCACAATGGTCCCTGGAACCTGCTTGACAGGGACCGCTTCAGCCCACTTGGAAAAGTAATCTGTCGCTGCAAGGAAGAAGCCATGATCCAAGGCAGAATAAGGGTCAATGGGTCCTACAATGTCCATACCCCACTAAGAAACGGGCCATGATGCCACTGAAGGATGGAGAGGCTCTGGGAGTTGATGAAAGAGGCTTGAGTACATTTGGTACACCTGGCATCTTTTAGCATAGTTTTGGGTATCAACCACCACTGAAGGCCAATAATACCCGAGTCTACGTATGCGATCGTAGAGCTTAGGGCCGGATTAATGCAGCCCACAAATACCTGAGTGCACTTCTTCCAGTATTTTATTTGCTTCTCGTGCATCGACACATCTGAGGAGACTTCCGTCAAATGATCGGTGAAAGAGAACATCCCCATCGAGCAGAGTGTACTTGGTAGACATCCGTCGTACACCGTTGCGTTTTGCCCGATCCTCAAGCAGCCTTCCATGATTTATAAAGTTCATGATAGGCTCCCTCCAGTCTTCCACTTGTTCAACCTCTACACATATCGGGTCGAAGAATTTCGGCTCCTGCTTCTCAGCCTTGGATTCTTCACCTCGGGACATTTCTTGTTCAGCCTTAATGGCATCCTTGGCTGCAAGGAGTGCTCCAAATGGATAAGGCGGGCATTCAGGGAAGACATCTCTCTCATCATCTGCATCAACTTTGGTTCTCAAGTCAACATGTCTCCATTCTGTTACCCCGACATGCGTGAGCCCTGGTGAGGACAGTTGAATGGTGACCCCGAGATTTGAGAGCGCATCGGCTTGCGAGTTTAGCATTCTAGGGAGAAATCGTCAAACTGGGCCATATAAGATTTGCTCGTGTCATGATAAGGCTTGAGAGTATCATTCTTTACGTCATAAATCCCCTTAAGCTGCCTGATGACCAGCTCAGAGTCGCCGAAGATGTTCAGCTGCTCCAGGTCTAGCTCTTGGGCGATCTCCAATCCGATTATGAGGGCTTGATATTCAGCCTCATTATGAGAAAATGCCTCTGCGAGTGTGAAGGATAGAGGAATCATTCCACCATCGGGAGTAAGGAACACGACTCCGGCGCCCCCTCTATCAGACTAGAATGTTCCATCGAAGTACATCTCCCATGGCCGAGTTAGTACCGTACAGAAAACTTGTTCATCTGGAAGATCACTTGACAAGGGAGATTCTGAAGGGACTGGGTGAGCAGCGAGAAACTCTGTTAAGGCTTGACCTTTGACAGTTTTTTGTGGTACATACGTGATGTCGAACTCCATCAGCAATAATGCCCACTTGACCAAGCGTCCTGACAGGCATGGTCGGGTCATAAAGAACTTGACCGGGTCCGCCTTTGAGATTAGCTTGACATCATGATCGAGCAAGTAATGGCGGAGCTTCTATATTATAAAGATCAAGGCTAAGCACATCTTTTCGATGGGAGGGTAATTCTTCTTGGCACCTTGCATCCTGCGGCTGAGATAATAGAGTGATGTTTCTTTCCCTGTATCATTGTTCTATGCTAGGAGTGCCCCAAGTGACTCATTAAGAGCAGTCACGTATAGGATGAGAGGCCTTCTTAACACTGGCGTGGAGAGTACCGAAGGATGTAACAAGTACTGCTTGATACCATTGAGTGCAGCTTGGCATGCGTCATCCCATATGAAGGGAGTGTCTTTCTTCAGGAGGTGTGAAAGGGCATGCATCGTCCCGAGAGGTTCGAGATGAACCTTCAAATGTAGGCCAACTGCCCTTGGAGAGACCGAAGCTCACGCAAGGTTGTAGGCAGTGACATGTCTTGGATCGCCTTAACTTAGACCGGTTCAATCTCAAGCCCACGATACCTCACGATGAATCCTAAGAACTTTCCTAGGCGTATGCCGAATGGATATTTCAAGGGATTCATCTTGAGTTGGTGACGCCACAGCTGCTCAAATACGTTTTTAAGGTCCTTCATGTGAGCGTCCTTTGTTTCAAACTTCACCATCAAGTCATCCACATAGAACTCGACCTCCTTATGCATCATGTCTTTGAAGACGGCCGTCATGGCTCGCTGGTACGTGGCACCGGCATTCTTTAACCAGAAAGGCATCACAGTGTAGCAAAAGACACCTTTTGGGGTCAAGAATGCAGTGGCCTCTTCATCCTCTAGTGCCATCCTAGTATGATTATAATCAGAATATCCATCCATGAAGGAAAAGATATGGGAATGAGCTGTGGACTCAACAAGCATCTCGGTGAACGGCAGGGGGAAGTCGTCCTTGGGGCATGCAATGTTCAGGTCGTAAAAGTCAATACAGACCCTGATTTGGCCATTTTTCTTCTTGACTAGGACAATATTTGCCAGTCATCTTGGGTATTTGACTTCACGTATGAATCCAGCTTGCCTGAGCTTGTTCACCTCAGCATCGATCTGCATTTCGAGGTCGGGTCTAAACCTTCTTGATTTATACTTTATGGGTTTGATGGATGGGTCAATACCGAGATGATGGATAGGGATTTGAGGGTCTAAACCGGGCATCTCATGATAATGCCAGGCAAAGACGTCCCTGTTTGCTCGGAGGACGGAAATATAACTTTCTTTCTCTTCTGAGGAAATTTTTGCCGAGATGAAAGTTGGCCTTAGGTTGCCCTCATCCCCTAAGTTTATCTCTTCAAGCTTGTCAGCTGTGGCCTGACCACCTTCTTCCCACTCTTCCGAAGCTTCTTACAACTCTTCATCTGGGGATTCAGGATGCTTCTTATCAATCTCGAGTGCAGAGACCCACGATCCTAACATTTATGCTTCTAAGAGGGTCCCAGTGTGGGAGACGATTTTCGGTCCCTGGCCGGACTAGGGAATGAAAGGGTCAACATCAAATGTGAAGTCCATGGCATCGTGACTAAGGTCACTCGGTATTTGCCCCGAGATGGGTGGCACTTCATGAACTTGAACCATGTGACAGGCCTCGTGGGAATAGGAGTTTGAAGATGGCTCGGACTTGGCTTGGGCAGCGAGGGCATCAGTGACTGTCGAGAATCCAGCCGCCTAGGCCAGCATTTTTCTTAGGCGCTTCCAATGCGACCTGCTGATGTTGGTGCCTTCGAGCTCTCTGTTTAGCGTGTCGAAGTCTGGGCACTGTTGAGCTACATATGTGAAAGAGATAGAAGAAGAAGGAGGAGGAAAAGAAGAAATGGAGTTAGAGTGTTCTGGACTACTTTTTATGTCATCGCTAGAATTGGACGTGTGCAGGGGGTATTTTAGGTCTTGCCCCGGCTCTGACTGCTGGGGGATGCTTTTACTGTTGTCACTCGTATTAGATGTGCCCTGAGCAGTTGATGACTCAGGGACGCTCACCTGATTGGTCAAAGGGATAATGCGAGTTGCACCTGGGATGAAGTCCTATAAGGAAGGGGCTTGAGAAATTCTTCTTCGAATGGTGGCTGAGGAATATAGCTCCTTCGACGAGCTGACCTGGGTGCTCGTCTCTTTCTGGATCTCTGGGGAGGTGTTTAGTCCATCCTATCAGGCTGATGAGTAACCCTAGGTTCGCGGACTACCTCACGCTTAGAGATTTGAGCCT